ACAGTTGGTGTCAGAATTGATAAAGATGGCAGAGAGAGGAAGCATGTCTGACTTCTGCCTCACAGGAATAAGCCTTGGGCTATTGATCTTGATTCTCCTCCCCCCTTGTGAAGGTAGAAGAGGTCAGACACTGCCCTGATCATGGCACTTTTACACACTGCTTTACTGAAACATCACAACTGATATTCCATCAATTCTTGGGGCCTTATTTTTTGCCAATGTCTTCAGTGCAGCTTGGACTTCTTCCTTCAATACTGTTGGTTCTTGATCATATGCTACCTCCTGAAATGGCTGAACATCAACCAAATCTTTTAGGTACACTGACTGTGTATTCCTTTCATCTTCTTTTGATGCTTCCTGTGTTAATATTGTCCCCATAGAATCCTTCAATATTGCAACTCGAGGCTTGAATTTTTTCTTCAGATCTTTCAGCTTGGGAAACGCCAAGTGTGTTCTTCTCTTCTAGTTTTGTAACTCCAAGTCTCTGCACATTTCGTTATAATACTTTACACTTTGCCCTCTCGAGCTGGCCTTTGAAATCTTCTGTTGAGCTCTTTTACGTGTTCGTTTCTTCTGTTTGCTTGAGCTACTCTATGTTCAGCAACAAGTTTCAGATTCTCTTCTAACATCCATTTTGATCTTTTCTTTCTTGCATGTCTTTTTAATGATCTTTTGCTTTCTTCATGTATGACGTCCTTGTTCATTCCACAACTCCTCTGGTCTTTGGTCATTAGTGTTCAATGTGTCAAATTTATTGAGATGGTCTCTAAATTCAGGTGGAATATACTCAAGGTCGTACTTTAGTTCTCATGGACTTGTTTTAGTTTTCTTCAGCTTCAAGTTGAACTTGCATAGGAAAATTTAATGGTCTGTTCCGTAGTCGACCTCTGACCTTGATGATATTGAGATTCTCCATTATCTCTTTCCACAGACATAGTTGATTTGATTCCTATGTATTCCATCCGGTGAGGTCCATGTGTATAGTCACCATTTATGTTGTTGAAAAAAGACATCTGCAATGAATAAGTTGTTGGTCTTGCAAAATTCTATCATATGATCTCCGGCATCATTTCCATCACTAAAGCTACATTTTCCAACTACTGACCCTTCTTTGTTTGCAACTTTCACGTTCCAATCACCAGGAATTATCAATGCAATGCAACCTGATTGTATGTGTGATCAATTTCAAACTGCAGAAGTTGGCAAAAATCTTTAATTTCTTCATCTTTGGCATTAGTGGTTGGTGCGTAAATTTGAATAATAGTCGTATTAACTCATCTTCTTTGTAGGCGTATAGATATTATCCTATCAATGACAGCGTTGATGATGAATGTGACGCCATTCCACTTCAATTTGTCATTCCCGGCATAGTAGACCATATGACTGTTCGATTCAAAATGGCCAATATCAGACCATTTCAGCTCACTAATGCCTAGAATCCCCACGTCTGTCAGTTTGTTGTACTCTGGTGGCATGCGTGTTGTGATGCTGGAAGCTTTGCCAACAGTATTCAAGTACTAGCAAGGTCACTTATGGTGGACAGGTTTCAGCACAGATTCTAGGCTAAGACAGAACAGGAAGAAGGATCTGACAGTCTACTTCTGAAAAAACTGGTCAGTGAAAAGCTTATGAATAGCAGTGGAACACTGTGTGGCATAGTGCTGCAAGATGAGCCCCTCGGGTTGGAAGGCACTCAAAATACAACTGGGAAGAACTGCCTCCTCAAAGTAGAGTCCACCTTAATGACGTGGATGGAATAAAGCTTTTGGGACCTTCATTTGCTGCTGAGGCACGACTCAAAAGGAGAAGAAACAGCTGCAAATATCCATTCATAATTGGAACATGGAATGTACGAAATACGAATCTAGGAAAATTGAAGTCTTCAAAAATGAAATGGAACACATTAAGATCAATATCCTAGGCATTAGTGAGCTGAAATGGACT